TAAATAATGAAATGTTTTTACTAGAAAAACTGGTGGTTTAAAAAGTTTTAATAACCACTATCAAAGAAGGTGCACTAAAATGAAAAAAACTTCAGTTTTTGATGTAACTTCTGAGAAAATATCAATAGTTTTCTGTTTAGAGAAATTTGACAATTAAGGATGCTAAAATATATGTGTCTTTTGAATAAATAATTAAACTTCTAAGAATTATCCTGAAAAAATTATAATTCATGTGATTATTTCATTTCTAAAACACTAATTGCCATGTTACTTATAAATGTAAAAATGGAAACAACTTCAATGCCCAATAACTGGAAATTTGTAAAAAATTATGATATATCCATATATTGGATGATTCATAATCATTAAGCTTGCATTTTATATCACACTAACTGATATTGGGTAAGAATTATAATAGAAAAGAAAAGAGATGTTAAAAATTATTGTATTGACAATTTATATATAAATGGACAGGAAGGATAAAGTTTCAAATTATCTGAATTTAAAGTTTCAGATAATTATATATCAGAGGTAAAATTAAGAGTTCTACTGTACTGTTTTTTGACTTTGAATTTTCAAGTTTATATAATGTTTGTATTACAATAAAGATATTTAGATATTAAAGATGTGGGAGTAATCAAAACCAGTAAGATTCAATTACTTAGCAAATTCAACAAAAATATTTTCAAAGCTAATATTGTTTGAACCTTCTAAAATTTAGACCCTTCCCCAAAACTTAAATGTGCATTAGCTCATCAAAATCCCGTAATGACACTCAATGATCTTTATGAGGGTGCAAATAACAATGACATAAAGAAACAATGTTCTGTTAATGTCTCCCTCTCCATGAAGCCATCTTTGACCTCTAAGCCTTAATTAGTTATCTCTTATTTCTCTGGCAGCTCCTTTGTTTTCTTCTATCATGGTATATGATGTATTCTACCGAAATTGAATGTTTCTTATTAGTCTTACCAACAAAACTATTAACTTAGTTAATTATTAACTATTACCTATCATTATAGGTATTGTTTATGTTGGCTTTTCAAAATGACCCCAATGCCCAGGATACCACATCTGCTAAAAACAAAACAAACAAAAATAAACATGGTGAGTGAATAATCATTGCAATTGTTTTCTGAATTCACTGCACAATAATATGAAGAGTTTGAAATGTCTCATTTCATTGCCTTTGCCTTGAAGATCACATATTTCACAATTGAAGATCACATATTTCACCATATAACAATTGGTGAAGAGACACCAATTGTTTGCCTCACAAGAATAGAACTACCAATGATCAAGGTTCATTTCTCTCCATGTGTACACTACATTATCTTCCAGGAATAGTGAACTTATTTTAGTTTCTAGGGTATTACCACTCAACATCTAAACAGATGCAGTAAAGGCATATGAAAAATTCCACATCAACAATCACAAAAAATCTTGGAGAAGTTAGGAATAGAATTTCCTTAACCTGGATTAGGACATCAGCAAAAGAGCCTATAGTTATTTTTGTACTTTATAATGGAGCACTAAATGTTTTCCTCTAAGAACAGGAACAAGGCATGAATTTCACCACCATATTCAACATTTTGCTAGATAGCTTATCTCATGCAATATTGAAAGAATAACATTAAATGTATAGAGATTACAAAAATAGAAATAAAACAAGTTCTATTTGTAGAAGTAATGGTTGATTATATGTCAAGTCCTTAAGAATCTACAGGGTGGAGGGGGTGAAGGGAGGGCAGGGGAATGGGGAAAAAATAAGAACAAAGATACACCATGTAAAGGTACAAGATCCCAATGATGAATGTAACTGTATTATATAGCTAAAATGTACCAATAAACTTAATGGAAAAAAAAAAAGAATCTACAAAACTTATTGTAATAGTTTACAAGGACTTGGAACACAAATTTAATATACCAAAATCAGCTGTAAAGTAGTACTATTACCAGGAAGTCAGATTCTAACACGGCAAAGTCCTAAAAATTCAAGGAACCGGCAACACACCTTGTTTCTTTGTCTTTGACAAAAGGTTTTAGATGAGACACGAAGCCCTTCCTATACATTATAGGTAGAGTTCACTACAAAATAGATTTTCAGAGAGAGAGAGAGAGAATGAGAATATACCTTCAAGTGTCAAAATGACAGATACAGTGAATGAGATCTCAGATCACATTTACATGATTAACTGGGTCTTTCAAGGAAAATCCTTTCCTTCCTCTGGGGTCATTGTTTTTATACAAATGAAGTGAAGCAGGTTTTCCTATTTCAGGGAGAAGAGCCTTGTTTACACTCAGGTGGATGTCTACATTTAGTTTCCATTGAGACCTTAAGGCTTTTCTAATCCCTCACGCATAGTCTGGACTTTGTATGGGCCCTGGATCTTATCAGAACACTGGAGGATGCTGCATCATCTTGAGCTTAAGTTTGAAACCACAAGCTCCTGTGAATTTTATCAATACCCAATGATTAGAAAGAGAAGGAAAAAAAAAATCACATCTTTGCATTTCAATTAATCCACAACCAAGAACAGGAGTTACTTGTATTTACATAAGACACAATAGAGTTTAAGTCAAGCACTGTCACAGAAGATAAAGAAAACCATTACCTGATGATAAAGAATTAGTTTAACAGGAAGATAAAAAAGTTATAAATATATGAAGTGTAAGGTCAGACCTAGGCATGATTGAGACCACCAAGGCAGCCAAAGTCTAAGCAACATGCTAGGAGTTTATTGCCATCTGGGTGCAGATGGACCAAGGGTGAGAAGGCTGTTGGCACTTAGAGGAGGGTGCTCAAGGTTGATATAGGGCATTTTAGGTAAAGGGGGGTTACTGCTCAAGATAGTGGAACATTTTAGAGTTCCATGAGCAAGAGGCCTGGGGCTGGCTGATAAATAGCAGGGTGGTGGTGAGAGGAGCAGGGCAGCTGCTGGCTTCTTGTTATCTCTGTGCTCCTGTGGATGCAGGTCTGCTTGGGAGAGGGTCCAACCGGGGACCTGTCATCCCTGCCTGTTGTGTTATAAGGAAAAAAAAAAATGGGTAGGGGACGTAGTTTCTCCCAGCATGACTAGGGACAGGGTGGGCATCCTGTGGGGAGAGAGAGGAGTGGAGTGTGTGTGTCGAGGGGCAGGGGGTTTCAGTCGTGGTGTGAGGCACTGGAGGTGTCAGAAGCCTGATGACCTTCAAGTCCTTCTCAGGGATCTGCTGGAGGCTCACCTGGGACTCACGGGTCAGCTGGAGGCTTTTGTGGGAAAGCAGTGTAGTGGACAGTCAGGTGGAGTTGTCTGGATGTCATGGATTGGATCTGTTCCTGGATAAAATCTGTCAAAAACTTTATTATGTAGGGTCCAATCAATAGTAGAAAGATTGGGAATGGGGGCACTAACATGGGGAGAAGCCAGGACATTCAGTCTGCTTGGAAAAGACTTTCCTAATCATCAATAGGACCACCTTTTGCCTGTTTTCTGTATCTGGTGGCTTGATCCTGGGGGGCTGCTGAAGCTAAGCCAGCAGCAAATATTAGGGCCAGGGTATGTGGGTGAGTAGGAAAAGAAAATGGCAGTTCATGAGTGAGCGGAGTGGTGTCTAGGTGGGAGGTGCAGAGAGGCTGAGGAAAGGAGAAAGGCAAGTGTATTTTGTCTGAGGGGGAGTGGATAAGGGGCCCTTAGAGGACAATTCTTCTAGCCAGTAGTAGAGCACCTCTAGTGAGTTGATCTGGGAATAGGGACTCCAGGGAATGTAAGTCTGAATCTGGGGAGTCATTTTGGGGGGTGGGGAAAGGAGCTGTTCTGCCAGAGCAGAAGGGATTCCTGCAAATAAACCTGAGGGGAGTGAGTGGTTGTCTTTGGCTAAGGAAGGATTGTGCAAGTTCAGCAGGAAATGAGTTAACTGCAAGGTTCGGTAAAGGACATTGGGAACAGCAAGGGGGAGTGGCCTAGGTGTTCATAGCAGAGCTTGGAGAGAGAAAAAAAGGAAGGCTAATTGGGTCAAAGGGCGCAGGGAGGAGGAAGGGAGGTGTTTAAGGTCTTTTTATTGATTGTCAAACAGGAGGAAGGTGGGAAGGAAGGAAAACAATTTGTTGTGTTCTGGGGAGAAGTTACACGGAGTGCCCTGAAAACAGATGTTTTATCTAGTTAAGATACGATTTGAGGGTGGAAATAAGAAGGTGAGGCCATGTAAGATTAAAGCAGACTAAATGAAGTAAATAAAATGACAGAACACACAAAAGCAAGGCATTTATATATCTTTTGGAATTTGGGCCAGTCTGATGGAAATAGGGGAAATGAGGAGTGGGGGGAATGACTTGTTATCTAAGAAGCTTGAGGGGGGTCCCTTGGCTTAGTTTATTAAGGGGTTTTATGAGCACTGTAAACCCTGGAATTCAGAGACGGAAACAGCCAGTGATTTCCAAGAAGGAAAGGAGCTTTTGTGTGGTGGTTGGGGTTGGGATCTGAGTAATTAAAAGAATGTGGCCAGGGGCTGGGGATTTAGCTTAGTGGCACTGCACCTGCCTCGCAAGCGCAAGGTCCTGAGTTCGATCCCCAGTACCAAAAAAAAAAAAATATATATATATATATATGTGCTCAGGGAAAGAACTAGGAGGATGTGGAGGGGCAGGTAATATTGAATGATGGAGGGCTTGAGGGAGGGAGAAGATACGGGGTAGGAGAAAGGCGTAGCAGTAGGAGTGAGAAAGGTATGAGAAGGTCAGCAATAGAGTGGGAAGCAGAGCCTGGAATAGTGAGGCTGGCAGAGAGTTCAGTTAAACATATCTCATCCGAGGAGCGGGATTGGACAGGTGGGAATAACTAGAAACAAATGAGTAAACATTTGGAGTTTTAATTGGCATAAGATCAAAGGGGTTTTAAGAGGCATGGACACAGTGCCGTCAATTCCCACAACAGTAATTGAGGCTAAAGTTAGCTGTCCTGAGACTGAAGAGTGGATGAAATGGATCACCCCTGCACTGATCAGAAATGAAACACTCTTACCTTCCACTGCAAGAGTTTGATGGGTATGATGGTCCAAAGGGCAACTGAGACCTCTGAGGTGTGTCAATCATCTGAGGTCCAATGAATCAGGATTTCCAGGGCACCTGATCCAAGGCAAGTGGTCCTGGGAGGGGACCTCTGAGCTGGGCTCAGCCACCCCAGCACAATCCACTTCTCAGTGAGGGCTTTTGCACATGCAGCATGGCTTGAGAGGCAGTCCTGGGTTGGAACAGTCTTTGGCCCAGTGGCCAGTCTGGTGACACTTAAAGCAGGGTCCTGGAGCTCTTTTTTGGATTCCCAGAAGTTTTATTTGGATTATACATCATGACCAAGTTTGATATACACCTGAGGTGAAAGGTTGGTTAAACATATGCAAGTCAATATTATACATCAAATTAACAAGGGCTAAGATAAAAATAACATGACAAAACTCCCACTTATGAAAAAAATTAACAAATTAACAGAAGGACCTTATGTAAACAAAACGAAGTCCACATGTATCAGCAATATAGTCAGGATCTGTGCTCTATTCTATTTACCCACATGTCAGTCTTAAAGCCAATATCATGTTTTGATCAGTACAGCTCTAATATATTTTGAAATTAGAATGCCAAGATTATACAGTGGGAAAGAATAATGTCATCAACAAACAGCATGGAGGCAAGTTGGGCATCTACAAGGTAAATAGTGAAATAAATCCTTGCCTCACATCACAAACAAAAATAATCTCAAAATGGATTAAGGACTAGATTTAAGGACTAAACCTGCACCTATATAACTCCTGGAAGAAAATACAAGGAAATTTGACTGGTAATGATTTTTGGTTATCATACAGGTAATGAAAGCAAACGTTAACAAGTGGTATTGTGTCAAACTAAAATGCTTCTACAGAGCAAAAGATACAATAAAAAAATGAAAAGTCAGCATACAGAATGAGAGAAAATGTTTGCAAACCTTACATCTGATACAAGATTAATATCCAAAAAATATACAGAACTCCTACAAATCAGGAGCAAGGAAAGAAAGAACCTGATTTTAAAAATGAGTGAAGTATCTTTATAGACATTTCTCAAAAGAAGATAAATAAATGGCCATATTTATATGAACAGATACATAATATCATTAATAATCAAGAATGTGAAGGGCCGGGGATTTAGCTCAGTGGTTCCGGCACCTGCCTCACAAGCGCCAAGGTCCGGAGTTCGATCCCTGGTACCAAAAAAAAAAAAAAAAGAACGTGAAAATAAAAACTACAATGAGATATCACTTTATATCTTTGAGTATTAGATTATAAGAAACAAGCATTGGTTAGGATGCAGAAAAAAAGCAACCTGTACCCTGTTAATGGACATGTAAATTGGTACAGCATCTCTAGAAAGAAAACAGTAACAAAAGAAGTCAAAGAAATATCAAATTAAATATATTCATAAAATGGAACACACAATACTGTTAAAAAGTCAACCTGTCACTAATCTGTAGATTTCATGCAATTTCAATCAAAATCGCTATAGGACTTTTCATAGACTTTTGACAAGATGATGCTAATATTCATGTTGAAAGAAAAATTATTTAATCAGTTCAGTTTTGGAAAACAAAAAGAAAATTGAAAAATACAGAGAGGATTCACAGCATTCCATTTCAAAATGATGTATCATGATACATCAATGAAAAACCATGCCTGTTCATGAAAAGATAGACCTAGGGAGCAATGGGACAGAATGAAAATTTAGAAACTAATGCACATGTATTTAACTGGTATTTTTACAAAGGTATGAAAGATTTCCATTGAAAAAGGATAATGTAAACAAAATGATACTTTAAAATGAACCTCAACCTATGCTTGGAATCATATACAGATCTTGACTCAAAACGGCTCAAAGACTTAAAGGAAGTATCTGGATTCTCATTATGGTGAGAATTTGCTGACAACAGAACATGGTTAATTTTATTGGTACATTTTAGGTATACAGTATAGTGACATTAATCACTGGAAATTTGCACCTTTACATAATCTCCTGTTTCTTTTTTTTCCCATTCCCCTACCCTCCCTTCAAACCCTCCATTTCTGTTTACAAAGAATTTGTTTCCACTTTTCCATTTTCTCATATTAATTCCATTCCCTTCTTTGCTTTCCCCTACCCCTCCCACTTCCCCTTCGCCCCTTTTCTTCCTATTTCACATTATCTATTATACCTTTTAGTCCTTATTTACACTTTCAGTTTCTCAC